TTTTTGGTCCTTTTGAGACAGGGTCTCCCTGTAGCCCCAGCTGACCTAGAAATCACTATGTAGACTAGGCTGGCCTCGAACTCACAAAGATCCACCTGCCTCTGCCTCCCAAGTGGTGGGATTAAAGGCATGCGCCACCACGCCCGGCCCTAGTACATGACTTTTAAGAAGTCACAATTCAGGCTAGAGAGATGGCTCAGCGGTTGAGAGCACTGGCTGCTCTTGCAGAGGACCCTGGTTCGATTCCTAGAAAGCACACAGCTGCTAACAACCATCCAGTTCCAGGGGATCCAACGCCCTTTTCTGACCTCCACGGGCATTGCACGGCAAGGGTGTACCTACCCTACATGCAAGCATTACACCCATACACATAAAATAAATAAACAGAAAATTTTAAAAGAGGTCACAATCCAAGCCCTCTTTCTGTCTCCTCTCATCTCTTGCTAGGGTTCCTAATGGTCCAACAAGCAGTCCATGGACACAGAATCCACGGCGGGCACAGTGTCGGCTGTCTGGAGGAGCAGACGGTGGTACTAGTTCTAGCATGCCTCCTGGAACACAAGGCTGACTTGACATCAAATCTTTAAACACCAGTCAGAGCACTAGCAAGTCCAAGGAGAAAGCCCTCACATGGATTAGCGGAGAAATCACATGAAAACACTCACTAGGGAGAAGTTTCTAGAGAATTCCATTAGACAGTTTATAGTGCAACTGATGTCATGTAGGTCTCTGAGAGCTGTTGGAGTCCCCTGCCCCCACCCAGTCTCCCTAGTGTTCACATTCTGCCCTCCCTGATGCCATCCTGGGCTGTGACTGAAACAGTGGGCAGAGCCTTCAGTGGTGACTCCAGTCAACTCTGGGGTCCCAGGCCCCACGTGCGGCATTCTGGGTCATGGTGAAGGGCTGGGCTTGCCAGTCACTGCCGTCCTAGGACCTGCCTGGGGCAATGGATGCCTAGCCCCAGTGATGTGGAGCCTGGTCCCTGCCCCTCACCTCCTCTGTGGCTATGTGCCTTCCTTCAGCAAGTGAGGGCCAAGCACCAACCAGCTGAGAAGGGGTGCTGGGACTTTGCTATACCCATGAAAGAAACCGACAGGACCAGCAGAGCAGCGTCAACTGACCATCGGGCTTCCGATGACCGTCTTGTCTGACTGACTGCACCGAATATCTCTGACCAGCCGTCAGGACACAGAGCTGAGGGCCTGACACAGCCCAGTCCTTCTGGCCAGACAGAGTAGAACAGAAGAGGGCCCTGCTGGACCAGTCCCCTGGGGGTTTCACAGGCTACCACTGTGAATAAGAGGCCCCAGAAAAACCCTTCCATCTTCAGACTGGACTTTCTCCAGCAAGGCTGATCAACTGATTAGAATTTCAATGAATGTGGAGAGTTTAGAATGTTGCAGGTCCAGAGCCTAATTACCATTTATCTCAGCCATCTTTGGCCCCTAAACAGCCACTCCTTGCCCATCTCTGTTTCTCAACTAATATCCTATTATCCTAGCAGACCACCAGGTCTCACCAATCAAAAAGCTAAGACTGTCATCAGATAGCATCTGAGAAGCCCCCCTTTGCTGTGACCCGCCTACTGAGTATGTCCACCAAAGTATTTGAAAAGTGTCTTGATTTATGACTTCTCTTTGTTCTGTTACTATAAAAACGTAATGTAACTGTCACCACGCCAGAACATGGAACTTGGGGTAACCTGAATCTGTGTTCCCGGGCCATGGTCACTCATATTTGGCATCAGAATAAACTATCTCTTATCCCCTTTGAGGTGAGAGTTATGCTTTTGTGTCGACACCACTAAGGTGGGATGAGGGAACAAGGGTCTTTCAGATCGAGCCTCCTGGTGGCAATAGAAGGCTGTGAACCACCCATAGGCCCATGGGGTTGAGCATGGGTGGGCAGCCTGGGGGTAGGCATCACATAGATCTGAACGGACTCTGGGTAGGGCAGGTGGGCGTGGAGAGAACAGACCACAGAGGTCAAAGCTGCTGAGAGAGACCAAGAGGTACCTGGGGCCACCTAGGGAGGACAGACACAGGAGAGCCTGATCTCAGGTGGACACGCTGAACATGGTGTCTGTCTCTGCTGCCCTCCCTTTGGGCTACAGGCTTTGGGTCGGGAACAGTGGATCTCCCTGGCCTCTAATTCCCAGTTCCTGAGTGTCCTAGCCTTGGGCACCCATAAGGACTGCTGGCCTCTGCCCCACCCTGGCCTGTTTCCATTCCATGCTAATGAACCCTGTCCCCAAGAAATTCACAGCACCTCTGTGCACTGTCCCCACCAGTGATGACTTTCCACACCAGAGACTTTGGGGACTCTTGAGACACAGCCAGTCCCTCCCACAGCTCACAGGCCAAAGGCACCTGTCCTCTGCTCCCCCATAACCCTGCTCACTATCTCTGACTTAATATCCTGCCTGGCTGGAGCAGGCCTGCTCCTGTGTGTTTAGTATGAGCTCTGACCCATCACTGTGACCCAGATGTAGGTTCCACTCCTCAAGCCTCCTTTAGAGCTGCTACAGCTGACTGGGAATTGCCTGCAGGCTGCCATCTGCCACCTTGAAGCCAGATAACAATAGTGGTGTCCCCAAGGCCTTCTTCAGCACTCATTGGTATGGAAACAGACCAGTGTGGGGCAGAGGCCAGCAGTCTTTATGGGTGCCCAAGGCTAGGACACTCAGGAACTGGGAGTTAGAGGCTAGGGAGATCTACTGTTCCAAGCTCCTAACCATGGCTGGTGGCCTGGACTTGGCTTCCATGCCCTGCCTTGGAATGTTCATGGTACCTGAACCCCGCCAATTATCTGTCTGAGGTGGACCCTTGAGAGGTCTGGCTTTGATGTCCCACCACACCCACTGGGGCCATCCTTGTGGGGCGACAGGATCCCATCCACACTCAGGAGCTGCGTTGGCCTCAGGTCCCAGCCACCATCCACACCATCCACACTGCGGGCCCAGGGTCATGGCCCAGGAAAGGCTGGGCAGGGGCAGCCACTCAGGCTGGAGGCAGAACAGCTGTGAGATCAGGTCCTTGGAAACAGCTTCATTACCAGTAATAAGACAGGGAATTATGAGGAGACAGGAAGTTCCCCAGGGGTCTCAGGAGGCAGCTGCAGGACGCTTGGGTGGCCGAATGCGGTCATTGATCCAGTCTACGTAATTGGCCACTCGGGTGTAGACACCTGGCTTGTTGAGTCTCCCGCAGCCATCACCCCAACTGATGATACCATATAGGTAAGCCACACCATTCTTCTCACAGGCCAGGGGCCCTCCTGAGTCCCCCTGGAATAGAGACTTGGCTCAGTCGCCCACCGGCAGCCAGGGGCCCTGCCCAGGAGCACCTGAACCTGCAACCCTGCAAACATTCTGCAGGAGTGAAAATGGGTACTTGGGCGCTCCCAGGGACATCCTCAAGGCTGGCTGACCAAGGCCTGGGCATAGATGACAGGCATTTCTGAGCAGAAGTGGGGCCTCTCTCCCTGACCCCATCAGTCTGTTGGGGAAAGAACTTTCTAACCTGCACACCCTACCACACACCCCTTTCATGGCTCCGGGTCCTACCTCCCGTGAGGAACATAGGGCCTCTTTGTCCAGCATGCTGGCTCCTCCCAGCCTGGCAGACTCCTCTGCATTTCTTAGGACAAGTACAACACCCCTCCCCCGAGAAGTCCTCCTTGATTACCCCAGCGATAAACCCCACCCACTCTACCACATCTGACCTATGCCACTTCAGAAGAGGGATTTGACCTTTCTGAACCTGTTTCCCTACCTATAGAAAAGGCATAAGGCAGTCCCTCCACGTTGGAGCAGGTTGGCATGCAGCCTGCTCATGACCAGGCCTACTGAACACTCAACAAACATTAGCTATTGATTGTTGACTGGTTGATTGATGAGTATGCAAGAGGAATCTGGGCCTTTGGTGCTAGATATCACGAGGCTAGCCCTAACGTTGCTTGAACAGCTGGGCTTCATCTAGGCTCTGTGTGATGCTGGGCCTAGCATTTGACTCAGTTTCCCCAGCTTTTCGGGAGGTTTTCCTCATACTGTGAGTGCCAGGTGGCCCACAGCAGGTGCACTTTCTGTCCAGGACTCCCTGCTGGTACTGGAGACTCCATCTGTGTGGTCCTGAGAGGGGCCAAGCAGCAGCCCACCTGGCAGGCATCAGACTTGCAGTCAAAGTATCCAGCACAGAGCATGTTGGGGCTGATGTCAGCGCCGTACACCTCGGGGCTCCTGCACTTGTGGTCAGCAACAAGGGGGACCAAGGCCTCCCTCAGGGAGCTGGAGTAGCCACTCACATCTGTGGGACACCACACTTTTAGCACAAGCAGGCTCACTGCCCTGCCCACCACTCCCCAGGGTGGTGCTGGAGGCACTCACTCTCGTTCACATGGCCCCAGCCTGCGATCTGACACTTGTGTCCAGCAGGGAAGGAGTTGCCTGCCTCAGGCAGGCAGATGGGCTTAACAAACTGGGAGCGTACGGCACAGCGGTCTCCCTTTTTCTTCAGCCGGATCAAGACTGGGCAGGAGAGAGGCCAGAGGTCAGCCTGGAGAATGAAGTCCACAGTGGACAGAATCACACGAGGAAGACAGCCCCAGAGAAGGGGGTGTGAGGTTGATGGCCTGGGAGACCAGAGAGGAAGGGTCCCAGCGTCCTCCAGCACCCCTGACCTCTGACTGCCTCCTTACCCTGATGTCTGCCTGGCCCCTGGCCCTTTCTGAGCTCAGGCTTTGTACACAAGGCATGCCCCGACCCTGCCGAGGCCCTGAACTCACCAAGGTCATGGTCGCTGGGGTTGAACACTGAGTACAGGGAATAGGGCACATACTTCTCAATGCCAAACGTCTGTGTCACATCTGTCGTGCGGTTGAAGAAGTGCTGGCCCAACACCACCGTGACACTGTCCCTGGAGGGGCTGCACAGAAGGCTGGCGGGAGTGGGGACCCAGCCCTCCCTCAGCACCATCGGCTCCCCCCTACCCTGTCCTGAACTTGGTGGTCATGGCCAAGGATGAGGGTCACAGCCCTGGGAGAGACCTGTGCAGGCACTCCTAACCCATGGTGACAGCAGTCAGGCCCAGTGGTGGGGCCCTGGACCCGAAGCCCTATCTCCAAGGACAATCCCATTCATAAGTCAGTGGGGCATCCAAGTAAGGTCTGCTCTGAGAAAGAGCTGTGCAGGTGGAAATTTGATCTACCTGAAGGCCCTACCCCAGCCTGGCCTGGCCTATGGGGTCCCCAGTGCAACCATTAGCCTTAGAGCCTGGGGGCTAGGAGGAGTGGTCAGGGCTTTCCTATCCAGTCCAGTCAGTCTTAGTGTCTCAGAGCTTCAGGCTCCCTAGGTGGGGAATGGGTGGGCTACTGCTGGGAGCCCACTCAGTAAGCTGCACCTCAGTTTCCCTTGCAGTGACCCTGATGGCATGATGTAGTCAAGGTGGAGAATGGGGCATGTCTCTGCTCTGGCACCTCCTCCCTGTGCTCTGGGAGAGGCAGAGTCTGCGCATAAGACAGGACCACCCCCACCGCTCCCTCTGCCCTTCCCCTGTGTTCCCCGAGTAGGATCAGGATTTCTGGCACCTCAATGTCCAGCACAAGGCTGAGCATGGGGCCCCAGTGGTCAAAGGTGTGTTGGGGTAACAGGAGAAGTGGTCAACAGAGCGGCTGGAATGGGAGTGTACCACATGAGAGCCATGGGACAGATAGAAGGTAGGGGCATGGCATGTGGGTGACCCCTGGGGAGGGTTAGATACAGGCAGAATGGAAGGGTGGGCATGGGCGCAGGGACAGAAGGACGGCTAGGTGTGGTTGCCCCGGGGTTGGGCCAGAGCACCCACCTGTTGGAGAAGCAGTGGGCTGCAGACACCACCCAGCAGGTGTGGACAAGGCTTCCAGCACAGAAGCTGTTCCCAATGTAGATGGCAGCCAGCCAGGGGTGCGAGCCAGGCAAAGAGGATGAGCCACCAATGATGCGTGGCCTCAGGAACGTTCTTTTCTTGTGTCTCTTGCCGCAGGTAGGGCGTGAGGCTGGGGGTGACTCGGCCAGGGTCACCAAGACCTCTGAGGGCTGGTGCTGGACTCTGACCAGGGATTCTGGGAGCAGAGGTCACCAGGTCATACCCTCGGGGTTCCCTGGAAACATCCCAGTTTCTCAGGGCCAGCCTTGCTCTGAGCACACAATCACCCTCTAAGCCTCTGTCCCCTACTCTGCAGATGGGGAGAGCAGGATGCAGGCTGCAGGCCTTTGAGGGCCAGAGTGCCTGGCACAGAGACAGCCCTGTCTTTCCTGCAGTCTGGGACCTCACCACCCACCTGGAGCTCTGGGGCATATCCCTCTGGGAGCTGCCTGCCTCAGGGTCTAACTACAGGGTGCCACTGGGTCCCCTCCATCTGACATCCTGTCTCAGGGCCCTCAGGTAACACCACTCCCACTCTGCCCTCTCAGGGTGCCCACCACAGGCTGCCAGGCGGCAGTACTCCCAGGATAGTGCATTGTCCTTCACCACATAGCACCAGGGCCTCTCATCCTTGTCTGGGTTCCTGGAGGCAGATGGGAGAGTCATACCAACACGGGGCAGAAAGAGGAGCATCCTAACACCCAGCAGGATGGGCACCTACACCAACACTGACCTCAGTAGGCACATTCGACCTTGCCCCCCAGGCTGGTGGTCATCTTGGCAGCACTGGCCCCTACTGGTCTGGAGAGCCACTCTGCAATCCCCTGCCCACCCAGAATGAGGTGTGGTGGGCACCAGATGCTGACCGGCAGTAAGCATGAGGGCCCAGCCCCAACAGGGCAGCGGTGCCCACTGAGTCCACGTGCAGCTCCTGGTAGAGCAGGTCAGAGTTCCAAGCCAGGCAACTCAGGCCCGAGACAGCGGTGCTGGCCACACCCCGGTACTCGGTACCATTCCCCAGGAAGCAGCGCTCTGTAGGAACTGTGGGCACAGTGGGGCAGTGAGGCCAGGCCACAAAGAAACCCCCTAATATTGTCCCCCAGGGTTGCCCCACAAGACTGGGAAACCAGTGGCTCACCAATGTTGCAGAGCCGCCCGGCATATCCTGGTGGGCAGGCACAGACGTTCATCCCTGTGCCCACGATCAGGTGGCAGGTTCCCCCATTCAGGCATGGGCTGCTCAGGCAAGCTAGGGAAGGGCTTAGAAGCTAAGCTTGGTGGGAAGAGGCCTGGGGGCATGGGGTCAGAGCCCAGATCTTTCCCTGTGCCTTTGCTGCTGGGTAACCTTGAGCAAGTCCCTTCTGCTTGTGTCTGGGGAATGGAGAGCTGTTAGAGGACTCAGGGACATGGTTCACAACACCACCACCACCATGGCGCCTAGGCCTCTCCCAAGATAACCAAGACATACCTGTGTGGCGGGTTCCTTTGCACCTGGCCTGCCCCTCCACGCAGTCACACTGCTCTACATGGCCCTCTTGCACGCGAGCCCAGTGGTCGCCCACCTCCAAATACTCGTAGCGGGTCGTGTCAAAGCATTTCTCTGGGAGTCACACAGTCACTTCCTGTATGCCCATAGTCCCTACACAGATCCCTTCCCTCAGGCAGTCACTAACCACCCCAGCATGGACTATTCTCCCCTCCTCCCAGGTCAGCTTCACCCTGGACCTCTTGGTCCCCTCACCTGTGCCACAGTCCTTGCCTGTGAAAGCCAGAGGGCAGGTGCAGTGGTAGGACACTGGGTCCTGGGTACTGGAGCATGTGCCCCCATTGAGACATGGCCCAGAAGCACAGGGATCAAGGACAGCTGGGGATATGCGAGAGGCACCATGATGGGTGGGGTAGGAGTCTTTGGAGTTTCTCCATGCCCCCTGCCTGCCAACGGCCTCTAATGGATGTTTAGGGTGCTCTTTCAGGGTTCCTGAAGGGAGCAAGTTCCCCTTCCCCACCTGGCATCTGAGCAGGTGTCCCATGGTTTTTACACTCAACATTCTGGACACCTATACATACTCTGTCAGGCAGCAGGGTCCCCTCCTGTTCCTCCTGGGACAAACATACCCACAAGTTTCAAGCCTTGCTCTCATGGCCTCCTGGCCCTACCCCAGGGCCTGTCCAGTAAATATGTGTGGCCACAGGAATTAAGCCTTACCACAAGAGGGCACCCTGGTCCCACCAATAACCATCAAAGCCATCCAGGGTCTAGTGAGCCAGGTCCCCTTCCTTGGTCAGACACCCTACACCGTCCTCTGGGCTGGTGGTTCTTTTCATCCTGAGCTGCCCTCAGGCTCAGTGGGGTCAAACTCACAGCCCCTCCTCCACTCCATGCAGGACTCCCTGCCCAGGTTAGTGCTGTCCTCACTACTATCTGGCACTTTGACCTTTCCCTATATCTCCAGCCCACTTCCCGGGTCCCATGTCCCAGCCCCCTCCTAGCCAGGGGCTCAGGCTGGCTACACATACCCACCTGGGCCTTCCACAGGCAGGGTGGCCTCTACACAGTAGCCCCAGGCCCTGTCTCGGTCATAGTTGTGTGTTGTAGCACACCTGGGGGAGGGTGTGATTCTGAGGATGACAAGGACACCCTGCCCAGAGGTCCACCCATCCCTGACTGGGCACCCTGGAGCACTCGTTCTCTAGATTCACCCTCTGGGTACTGAGACTCAGTGCCTGCAGGGCTTGGGCAGCAACCACAACGGGACCCCTGCCCCATCCTGGGACTCACCACTTCCTGTAGGCACTTCCCTCTGAGGTGCAGGAGTGTAGCATGCGGCCACCGTAGCGGAAGGGGAACCGGCATGGCTGCCCTGACTCAGTGAGCACTGTGGGCAGGGGTGAGGAGGTGAGAGGAGGAGGTGGCAGGGGTCAGGGGCTCTCGCCAGGCATCCCATCTCCACCCCACACCCCACTCTAGCAGGCCGGCACCCCTCTTTAGCAGCTTTCCAACCGCAGAGCTGTTCTCTCCTGAATGAGGCTGACCTACCTTGGGGGCTGCTACTGGAGGGCGTGACCCTGGGTGGAAGAGGCAACTCCGCATCTTGGGGTCCTTCAGTCTCTGCCTCTGCCTCCGGAGAACTTGTTGCTGAGGTGTTGGGGTTCACAGAGGTCACAGGGATCGTGGGTGTCACAGGAGTAGCTGTGACATTCAGTTCAGGGGTTCCTGAGTGGTTCTAGGAGCCCAGAGGGCCGTAAGGGAGTCAGTGTGGGATGGTCCTTCACACCTGGCTCCACCAGGCAGATCGGTCACAGCCCTGAGCCTCAGTTTCCACATGAGGGCCCTTGTGTCTTGGGGCCCTAAGATCTCTTCTGGTCTAAGCCAGGGTGGTTCAACAGGCCAACTCAGGGTCACAGACCGCCAAGTCATTCTGGTCCCTCGGGGTTCAGCCTTGGAGTCAGTTCTGGGGTGGGCAGGAGCAACTAGAGGTTCTTAGGGGTCTCCCATGCCCCCATCTCAAACATTGAGACCCCAGGGGCCCCACACCCACAAAGGTCTGCGCCACACAGAGACCAACAGGACAATCCCAATAAATGCAGGCCTTCAGGTTCTCTAGGACAGCCCAGCACCCCACCTCTTTCTGTAAAGGCCAACTTTCATCCCCCCGGGCTACCATAGTGGGCCCCTAGCCCACTCTGCACCCCTGCCCTGGCCTCATCCCAGGAACCTGGAGCGGGCCCAGGGAGCCCTTGGCCACGCTGTGAGGGGGCTCACCCTGCCAGTGCTCACCCTGCCAGCCTGGGGCTGGGCCCCCAGAGGCACCACCAGAAGCAGCGGAAGGAGCAGCAGGAAGGGACACAGCCTGGGTGGGGGGCAGGGGCTGGGGACCCAGGCCCATTGCCCCATGACTCCTCTTGAGCTGGCGTGAGGGGCAGCAGAAGCAGAGCGGCCAGGGCAGGTAGGGTCAAGTTTACATGGAAATGATTAACCCTGCCTCCCACATGCACCCCTGCCAGGATCCCCCATGGCCTTTGCTCACCTTGCTGCCCCAGCTGTCCCTGCCCTGACTCAGTCTGTACTGCTTCTGGACCCAACGGCACCCTCAGGTCTCATCCTAGAAGCCTCTTCCAGGAAATCTTTCAGGGTGACTTGGGCAGGTCAGGGCCAGGCCTCCCTGGTGCCGCTGGCTGGCCACAGAGCTGGCCACTCCTTTCAGGAGCCCTTCACATAAGTTGCTGCAGTGGAGCCCTGAGGACTCCAGGTCTTCCCAGCCTGCCACTGACTGGAGGTGGGGACGGGTGTTGTCTCCACCCCACAAATGTCAACACAAGGTGGAGCCCTACCCTCCCACCGCCCAGCCCCCAGTGACCACACAGCAGATAAAGACCAGGCATGGAGGGAAGAGGGCTGCTCCCTGGGCTGTCCAGACTGCCCCATGACTTTCCCACATGTCACTAACACCTACAGCCACCCTCCCCTCCTCTGTGGCCTGCCTATTACCCCATCATCAAGCCATGATGCCCCTCTGTGATCCCAGGACAGGTACCCTCTGCTGGTCTGCTTGTCCTAAGCCTCAGGTACCCAGGACCCCTGGAAGTATACCCCCATCAGACAGCCCAGGCACCTCCCCCAGGAAGCCATGCCAGCCCTCACTGCCTGTGGGCACAGCCTGCATGCTTCCAGCTGGGCAGGCTACACTGAGCATCCCTGAGCCCCAGCACAGCCCTGTGCCCCTCACCAAGGGCAAGCTGGAGTGGCTGCTCCACAGCTGTGGCTCCAACTGTGGCAGCACTGCCTTGGGAAACTTCTCTGCAACTTCTGAAAGCATGGTGGGGGCATGGTGGGTACCGAGGATGCAGTGCTGCTGGGGACATGGTGATGCTGGGGCATAGTAGATACTAAGGAGATAGAGTGGGTGCTAGGAGCACGGTGCATGCTGGGGACACGATGGTACTGAGGGAATGGTGGTGTGGGGGCTTGGTGGTGTGGGGACTTGGTGGTGTGGGGGCTTGGTGGTGTGGGGGCTTGGTGGTGTGGGGGCTTGGTGGTGTGGGGACTTGGTGGTGTGGGGACTTGGTGGTGTGGGGATGTGACTCTGGTTAGGTACCTAGGCTGCTCTGAGAAACCTGCTGACAACCACCCCAACTCCAGCTCCAGGGAGAGAAGCAGGACGGGTCAGTCAGGGCCTGGCTGCCACTAGAGCCTCTACTGAAGCATCCCAGGCCCATGGCATTGTGCCTTTCAGGACCGGCCCAAAGCCACCTGTGGCCCTGTGCCTGGCCCTCCTCACTGGTCTCTTGCCATTCAGCGCTTCCCAGTCTATAACCACTCGAAACCAGACTCAGGGCCACTCAGCACATGGGCAGTCTTCCTGGGACTTGACAGCAGTCAGGTTTCAACTCAGATGGCCCCTCTCTAGAGACCCTCCCAGAATAAGACTAGAATACAGTGATGGGACAATGAGAAGAGGGCCCTGCTGGGCCATAGGACAGCGCACAGGAATGAGACCACAGTGACCAGCCAAATACAGCTCCAAAACCAAGCCCTGCCCTCATCAGTGGCCACCGTAGGGATGAGACAGAGGGGGGTAGATGTCAAGGGACCCAAGATGATCTGAGGGACAGTGTGAACGGACAAGGCCAGGGGCTTGGCCTGGTCATCACAGGGCTGGGCCTAGAGCCATAAATCTGATGGTGGGAAAGGATTCTGACCTTCAGCTCCCAGGAATCAAGTCATCCTCTCCTCATGCTGCCCCTGACTTCACACCACATGCTATTTTGTCCCTGGGCCTCTTTCTTCTCCTGGGACCATCTCCCAGAGGGCAGTATGTGACATCAGCACTCAGCATGAGGCAACATGTGGCAGGTCCTCAAGAAAAACGCTTTATTGAGCAAAGTGTAAATGCCAAGGGGTATTCAGGGGTTGCTGTGGGGATGTCTAACACCAGCCCCATGACAAAGATGTCCCTTCAGCTCCTGGTTTGGCTCCTGAGGGTATTGTGGCCAAGGTGGCTCCTCTAGGACTCCCAAGGACTCATTGAAAGCCAGGCCCCTGCTGTCCCAAGAAATCACAAGTCTCCTCTGTAGCGCCCATGTGGGCATGGAGGCCAGGCCAGGCCGGGCCGGAGCAGTAGGGTTGGGGGTCAGAAGTACAATTTCACACAAAGGTGGCATGATGGGTACTGGTCTTGGGCTTGGTGGGCTCACCTGGGGGAGGTCTCAGGCCAGGGCCATTTGACATCAGGGGCCCATCAGCCCTTACCCTCCTGGGACCCAGTCGCACCCCCAGGATGCTGCCTCCCCACCCTGGTGTTATTCCAGCAACAAGGTCCACATCGATGATCCTGTTGACCGGGAAGCTTCGGCTGCCTTGGACCCTGCCCCCTGTCACAGGGAGAAGAGAGGCCATCACCTGCCTGGCCCAGCCCTAGGCTTCCAGAACCCATCCCAGTAACCCTGCACAGACACCAAAATACTCCAAATCTACTCCAGAGGTGACTGAGCCTGGGTAGAGGGGCTGCGTAGGTCAAAGAGCACTCAACTGTTCACACCTCCAGGGTGGGGAGGCAGCTCTGTAGAACCCTTTCCTAACCAGCTACTGCATGATGGGTGCCACTGACGGCAGGCAGCTCCACACAGCCCCAGCTGGGAGGTTCTTCTGAAAGAATCAGTGAGGGACCCAACAGAGGAACTGAGTTGCCCTAGGCAGTCCTCAGCCCTAGTCCCTCCTGTCACAGGGCTTTTCAAGAGACCCACTTGGAATTTCCCCCACTAGGGTACATCTAACCAACTGCAGGCCTCGCAGCCCCTTCTGCCTGCCTGCCTGGAGTACTTGGCCCTTACTGTTCCCTTGGCGTGGGACATCTGTCCCCAGCCCTGCTTGGCTAGCCTCCCTCATCCTCTCAGGTGACAGCTTGGACACCTCTCCTGCCCAGTTCTCAATGAGGATGCCGGCTGTCCCCTGGGCAAGGCTGTAATCAGGGAGGGGTGAGTGCGTCCAGTGTTGGGTTAGGCAGTTGAGAGGGCTCCAGGACAGCACAGAGGGGTAGGTGCACCCTGGGGTCCTGTCAGCCTCCTAGAAAGCAGGGTGGGGGAAACTCTCTGTAAGAATCTCCCACTCAGACCTTCCCACGGTCCCTTCCTTGCCCCCAGAAGCAAGACCAGGTCACCTGCTAAAGTCCCCTGATTATCTACCTCTGTCTGTAGCCATTGCCAATTCCCTAATTCCTCTAGAGGGCTGTCCATCATCTCTCAGAGCCTGGTGACCCTGGGTGGGGAGTCACCTCCCCAACAGACCTCCCAGCCCAGTTCAACTTTCAGATGCCCTGGCCCCCATTCTCTCCCTAGTGGCCTGGGGTCATCTTCATCTTTATCAACTCCTGTGGGTCCAGACTGCCCTGTGACTCTTTCCCACATGTCACTAATACCTACAGCCACCCACCCCTCCCCTGTGGCCTGCCTATTGCCCCATCATCATGCCATGATGCCCCTCTGTGCTCTCTTTACCACCTATGGTTTCAACTTTACCCCATCACCCCACCCCCAGTTGCCTCAAAACTACCTTGGAAGCTTCTAGACATGAAGATGGATTTAGAAGCCCTCACCCCAGGACAGTCCTGCTTTGTCTGGGTGGCTGTATATAGCCATTGCAGACATCATTCACTTTGGAGTCGGGGGAGTGGGGCAGAGCCCAGTACTAGTCAGCAGGGGTTTGAGTGGCTCCACTTGGGACAGGCCTCAATTTCCTGCATGTAGCTGTCTTAAGCACTTAGCTAGAGGAGAGCAGGGCCACTAGGGCCACCCCACTGGGGGAGCTCCTGGACACCCCACCTCCCCACTATAGACAGATTAGGGGACTGTGGGGTGTGTTCTGAGGGGAAGAGTCCTGCTTCCCCTGAATCTCCAGGAGCTCATAGGCAAGGTAGGGCTATTCCTGCCAGAGCCACAGTGGACAGACTTAGAGAGACAGTCCCACTCCCAAACCATGAGAACCCAGGACATGGGGTCACACTACACCAACTGTCCCCAGACTCAATTTCCCCAATGTAACAGAGAGGACTTGCCACTGAAGTTGAAAACTTTGTCCCCTCACCTCCCCCCACCCATGAACCCAAGGCTTCTGATATGGCCACAAAGGCTTGGGTGTCTTGCTGGCCTGGCTATTCTGTGAACCCTAAGGCCCCCTGACCCTTTGCACTCACCTTACCCTCAGCCCCAAGCTTCTAGAAGTGCCTTTCATGAGGCTTCACGGAGCAAGCTCAGGCCCGTGCACAGAGGGTACCCAGCTTGTTGCCTTTGACAAATCAAGCAGCCACAGAGGCTCACCTGGTGAGTCAGCACCAGGGCACCCAGCACATGGCATGGCCAAGACTGCAAGCTTCTCCCAATCTGCCCTCAGTCACTCAGCGAACGTTTTGCTAATTCCTGCTGGATCCAGCCTCACCTCCACCTGTCCTGTGCTTGTCACCCAGTCCTCCTGGCTCCAAGAGTAGCAAGATGGCCATGTGTAGAGGCAAGGCCAGTCCCTAACCACTGGGCACCAGCGGGACATTCACATAGAATGCCATTAGGCTCTGCAATGTGACCCCCCCCACCCTGCCCCAGCATGAGAGGCCTGCTCTCCCTGTTAGCCCTGCATGGACACTTGGGAAGATAGAGTCCTCCAATCTTCCACAGACCTGTGCACCCACAGGGGACAGGGCAGCTCTTCCAGGGGCAAAGGAAGTGCATCCACAGGAGGGGCATCAGTACAACACTTCCTGCCTGCCCAGCTCAGACTTGCTCTGAGAATGTAGCAGTCCTAGCCAATGACTCAGCCATAGGCCTGTGTGCCAAATCCAGTCACTTCTAAGCCTCTGCAGAGCTCCCTAGGCTAGGAACAACTCAGAGGACCCCCCTTCCCTGAGCCCCAGGAACCACTGTACAAAGCCTGCAAAGCTCACACATTTCTAGAGGCCTGGCCTGGTATCACTCCTGGAACCAGCTCCCTTGGGCCCTCTGCCCGAACTCTCAAGCACCCAGACCAAGGCTGTGCCAGTAACTCATTTCCTGCCCTTTGGGCCACCCATGGCCCCTTCTTTTCCGGCACACTGGCCCTTGGATAACATATCCTGCAGGTCCACTTGGATGGGGGCTCTGCTGGAGCCTGAGACAGAACCACCTGGGTTCGTCTTTGGGAGCCTGGAAGCCTTCTTTTGCCCATCAATCAGCACTAGCGTCAGGCACCTCTCTGGCGTCCTCTTCATTCACCTGGGGACATTCTTTGACCTGGCTACCACTGCTAGTTCTGGGCTAGGTCTGCCCCTCCCCATCCTCAAGGGTCCATACCCTATAGCTAGGTTAGGTTGGGGGCTTGGCCCTCAGCTGCTTCCCAGCCCTTCCCTCAGGGTCCAGCCTCAGATGTCCACCATCCCTCTGCCCTGCCTGTCCCCACAGAGCAGGGACACTGCCCATTCCTCTGCCACCATACTTGCTCAGAATTGTCTGTACTGCCTGGCCCTGCTACCCCCTGCCAAGCCCCCTGAAAGCTTGAGGGGACACAGACCTGGTCACAACTGAACTGCACATGCAGGAAAACATGGAAGAAGGGGCAAAGAGAGGACCAGAGACGAGGGCCCTACCCTTGGCCATGCACAGGGCCTGACAGCTCCAGGTTCCCATTGGGAGAGAACTACTTAGCCCTGCTTCTGGCTGGTGACTCTTGGTCACTGCCTGCCTCCACAAAGACCCTAATCGAGGATCAGGACTGTGATAAGCTGGGCTGGATTAAAGTTCCTCACTCAGCAAATACCTCCTGGGCCTTGAGTCTATGGATGTACATTCCCTGGGTTAACACAACCCAGCAGGGCACATTGGTACACAGGGAACAGAAGTCCAGAGAGTGGCAGTTAGAAAGACTAGCATGCCTGTGCACCTTAGGGATGGTTCCGCAAGAGGATGAAGTGGCCAGCAGGGCTAGAGAAGGCCTGTGCTCGAAGGGTGGGGTGGAGCAGGTCAGGTTGTGGGGTGAGGGAACTGAGGTGGGAACAGCTAGGTGAGGCTGTTACAATTCACACCTGGGATCTGGGGTAAGGTCTCTGAGCAGCAGCAGGGGACTGAGATCCACTTGGCACCAACTGCTGGGAAAGGCCTGGTGCCAGGATGTGCCCCTAGCAGATGACTCCTTGGCGCCTTGGCAAGCCTGAGCGTCAGTCCCAGGGTGATGAGGTCTGAGCTGCATCTGTGCCTCATGAGGCCTGGGCTTTCAGGGGACCTGCCACATTTCCTTGCAGACCTGGGAAAGACCCCAGGGGCCCTATGGATGTGATTGGATGGGACTTGCCAAGGAGGAGTTACCTCCCACAGACAGTCTGAATGGAACTAGAGTCAGACAGGCTGTGTGTCCTCACCCTGACCTCAGGAAGTGTGACACCATCAGGACCAGGGGAAGCACCCAAGCTAGGTGGGAAGGTCAGCATTGCAGGCTCTGGGAGCTCAGGCCACACGGGGGCAGTAGTCCTGATGTCTGTCTCCATTTCCAGTGGGAGGAGGTAAGTCTCAAAACTTTGTCCTTAGCCTCAGCCACCCCTGCTGGATGAGCAAGAATGTGGACAGTCCTGTGGAGAACTGAGCCACAGGCTCCCAGAGAGCCACTGTGTGACCTAACAAGCACTTTTGGGGTCTCTGACAGCCAAGGCCACCAGGTCAGGGACCCAGTCCCTAGATGGCTATGTGAGGGCCCCTCCCATTAGGACTCACGGTAGCTCTGACCTGACATTTGTGTTTCTTGGGGAGGGGCCACTGGGGACCTGCTGTTAAAGTTGAGCAGAGCAGGGAACTCAGACTGGCCAAATGCCCTCAGGAACCAGGCCTTCCCCCAATGGGCTGGGAGGGGTTCACGGATCTATTCTCAGCCAATACCCTGAGCCTGGCCTGCAGTGGCTGTGCTGCCAAGTAGCTACAATGGGTGGGGCCTGCAGAGGATGAGGATAAGGTCAGGCAGATGCAGAAACCTCAGGAAGGCAGGTGGGGTAGTAGCACCTGAATCCAGCCACTGAAGAGAGGGACAACTGAAGAGCCCAGTCCCTGCAGAGGGACCTAAATGCCCACCCCCAAGGCTCCACAGCTGACCCTGTATTCCTACATTACTGTTGACTATGTGTACCCTAAGTGTGCTGAGTGTGGGGGGTTCTCACCATGGTCACTGCAAGAGACTGTTCTCTAACCTCAGACCCCATTGCCACGGCTCCGTCCTGCAACCTTCCTTCCTCCTTGGGACAAGGAATCCCTTAGGGCAGAACCCCAACACCCTTTCAGATGTGTGGAGACACTGCAGCAGAACTAGAGCTGCTGACTCGCACTGACCCTCCTCCAGACAGACACCCCCTCCAGACACCCTCTCCAGCTCCCAGTGTGTTGGCTGGCCACCAAATGGACAAAGCTCAGAGGGTGGACAGGAATGACTCAAAACAACTGCAGCAGGGCGTGAAGGTGCACACCTTTAATCCAAGCACTTGGGAGGCAGAGGCAGGTTGGATCTCTGTGAGTTCGAGGCCAGCCTGGTCTACATAGCAAGTTCCAGGCCAGCTGGGGCTTCAGGGAGACCCTGTCTCAAAAAGACCAAACAACGCCCCCCGCCCCCGCATGAGAAGACATCCTTAGACGTGCTAGCACCAGCCTGGGAGGCCCTGCACCCTCCAGAAAATCGAGAACAGAACATTCTGCCAAGGGGACAGTAAAGGGAGGGCCTCCGGTGCTGGGGACACTCATCTGCTTTCCCATCACAAAGGGACTTTGGCATTTTTGAGTTTTCTGTGTCAAGATACAAACACACACAAAATAAAGCATAAAGACACACACACTCACTCACTCATTCTCTACAGATACATGTCAAGCACATAAGAGTCACACACTGCAGACACATAGCAAGCACGTGTGCTCATGCATGTCCACCCAAGTACTCAGAATGTCAGGAGGACTCAGATATTTCTTTTATTTGCCATTGCCATCTCATGTGTCAGGAGAAAGTCCAGGAGGGCTTAGAAGGGCTAGCCTGGCTCATCTGGCAACTGATGGTTCCTGAGCCTCTGCAAGTACCCAGAGTGGCTATGGGGTAGGGTGGGGAGACCTCTAGGCCTGGCCAAATCTCCATGTCTTTCTCATTAAAAATTTCACAGCAGTTGTCAGAATCGTGAGAGTAGCTGGGTGGGAGTAGGGCCTTCAAAGCCTGAGAGCAGCAAGTGGCGGTCAGTAGGATCACCCCTGCTCAGTGAGCCAGAGGACCTGCTGTGTGTCTGAGGGCACCCCTACAGACAGCCTCCTCCATCACCTGGAGCAGCCTCAGGAGGTACCGTATCCTCCCATGTAGAGAAGCCCTATAACAGCCTGGTCCAGAGAACCAAGCTGGGGTATTTGGAAACATAGGTGCATAGTGGGACCTCAGCTTGAGGTCTTCTCCAGCACACTGGAGCCACTGCTTCCAGAAGACAGAGCAAGCCATCAGTACCTATAGCTGTCTAGTGACACTGGGGAGAGGCTGGTGGAAGCCACAAACCAATGGGCTGTAGCCAAAGTTCCCTTTCCTACGGCCATCACTTCTAGGACAGAGCTCAAGGGTCTGGGTCTCTATCTCCTTGGGCACAAGGGACTGGCTTCCTACAATGTCTGGTACCACCCCTGTCCTTCCCCCCATGAGCACATCCAGAACATGCCAGCAAAGGCCACCAGCCATGCATCATACTGGGTGCCACTGCCTGTGGCCCCTGTGGATAAACCACACAAACTGGTTTTCTACAGCACCAGCTCACACCCCAGATGCAGCACAGACCCAGCTCCAACATCAGAGCTGTAGCTAGTCTGAACAGAGGAAAGAGGCTCCTCGGCGGATCCAGAGGGGAGCAGCCTGGCTCCCAGGTTGAGGAACAAATCCCAGGCCCTCCACTCCGTCACGTCTGTCCCGGAAGTGCCCAGACACTGGGCACAGGAGGCAGCTGCAGAGACCTTGGATTTGAGGTGGGGAAGACCCTGCTGGTAAGCAGAATGGGGTCCCCACTTTCAAACCTGCTCCCCTGGGGACAGCTGTTCCGGTCCTGCAGTTGGGTGTAGCAGGCATGTAAGAGGGACGTCTTGGACTTTGCGGCATGAATAGTCTCTATTTATAAGTCAGTACATTAAAGTAAATCCATTTAATTCCTTCAAATGTGCAATATTTCCCTAGAAATAAGTTCAATCTAAACTTTCCTAAAGTGAAAACACATTTTCAAATGAGGAAGAAAGGAGTTTTAAGCCAGTCAAGTGATGAGCTCTAGAGTTTATTACTCTTGGAAGAATAGAGGCAGAACACAGAGAGAAACTGCAAACAGGCCGCTCCAGAAGAGGAGAGGAGGGTACGGCTTGACAAGTGCCCAAGCATGCATGTGGGGACACCGCGGCTCCTTGCTCTTCCCCACGCATAGCATCCCTGCCAGGCAGGGGCTATGGAGCCCACCCTACAGGGCAGGGCCCTCCCAAGTGCCCAGACATGAGCAAGTACATGGAACATGCATTGAGGCCCGAAAAGACCCAACCCTGAGGCACCCTGGCCCAGGAAGCAGGGCCTAGATGGGCACACATGTTGCCTGACGCAGATCACTGCTGAGGAGTTAGACAGGAACATTTGGAAACATGCACCCAAAGGCTCTTCGCCGCCATCGCGGGACACCATACACTGGGGCTCCTGGAAGCCCCTGCCACTGTAGTATAAGATCAGGCATGTGAAGTGGGGTGGCATCTCTGCCACCAGGCCATGTTTCTGATCCCTCCACACACACTGAACTTCATACTCCCACCCAGAGAAATGCATGGACACATCTGAGGCTAGCCTGCAAATACCACAGAAGCAGTAGTGACTGCCCAGAGCCTAGCCCATTGGCTGGTCTGTGGAGGGTGGTCAGCGAAGTCCTGGCTGGCCACAGAGGGGCCGACATCAAGAACTCTGGTCCTTGTCAACACAGAGCCCTTGGTTTGCTAAAGACAAATACTATTTTTTTTCCATCTTGAGACCAAAACACTAAAATGGCAGCAATGCAGGTTTTACAGGTAACACCCGCACTCTCAGAGCCCTGACCCCGCACAGGGCATCACTGGATGTGGGTTCCTGTTCCCCTAGCACCTTCACAGGAGCAGCTCAACATGGTGTGTGTACAGGAAGGAGCTACAGTGACGGTCTACCCCACCCCCCGGGACCTGGACCTTGGCTGCCACCGGCTCTCCTTTCAGAAAAGGCAAAGAAGGCCCCATAAATACCACCGAGAAGGAGGCCATCTCTCAGAGCATCTCACTATGCAGAAGTGATGGCCGGGGGCCTCCTGCTTCAGTGTTCCCTTTATTAAACATGGACTGGAGCAGGCTGTGGGCAGCGAGCAGGACAGATCAAGGATGCAGGGTCAGAACCTGGAGATACCTGGTCTTGGAAGTTCCGATGTGTCCTGGGAACTGGGGGGTGGTGGCAGCAGCGTGCTGTTGGGGCTGCTGATGTCCCCCTCCCCCATCAAGGTTAAGTCGGCCACCTGTTCGTCCTCCACAGTCTGGATGCCCCCAGCCTCTGCTTCTGGCGACAGCCTCCTCCAGACCTGTGTGGTACCCTCCTGCACGGTGGGAATACAGGAGGGCCCTGCAGACTTCTGCCCAGGTGCGGTGGTCCCATGAGGCCCAGGGGGGCTATAGGCGGAGCTGGGGCTGTGGGTGGAGCCAGGGCTGTAGGCTGAGCTGGGGCTGTGGGCCGAGCCAGGACTAGTTGCTGGGCTGTCACTACAGCTCTCCTCAGTCTGGGCTGCTCCTTCCTTGCCATGGCCTGGAACAGCTCTCTTGCTAAAGCCCTTGGCCGGGGCCGGGCTGGACAGGGCGAGTTCTGAGGAACCAGAAGGTAAGCGAAGAAACTCGGGCAACACCAGGTCTTCCTTCCTTAGCAGCCCACGCTGGTCATCGGCTCTGTTGCTCTGAGCTTTGGAAATGAGCTCAAAAAACTCTATTGGAAGGAAACCCATAGTGACCATGTTTTAGAGGCTCACAGATGCCTGCCACAGCCAAGCACTCCCTCTCAACAGGGGCGTCTGCTGCCCTGAGCTGCCATCGGCAGTCAAAGGGGTATGAGGTCAGCCACACGACTTCACCCACAGAGCTGAGGCCAATGCCTGGCTCCTGGCCCATCTGTTCTCTGAAGCAGCTAGCTCTAGGTGCCCCTGAAAATCATACTGCAAGGTCTAGGCCCAACACACCCCAGCCATGTAGTAGGTGACAACCCCGATAGTGCTCAGGGGGCTGCTGCTAGTATTCTGGCACACCAGGGACACTTTATACCTGAGCACAGATGATTCTGAGGTAGAAGCAATGGCCAGAGTAGGGCATGACAGAGCCAGGGCCCAGCTGCACTGCACCCCGCTTCCCCACCCCATTTGGGAGTGGATGGCCAGCTTGTAGAAGGCTGGGAGAAGACTCTAGCTGGATGGAGCAGGGGGCCCTCAGATCCACCTGACTCCCAGGTTCACTGCCTCTGGGCAGAGGATGATGCTCCAGGGCTGAGGGACAGCAGGCATTTAATGCCTCCCTAACCCACCTGAGGCTCGCCAGCCCTCAGGGGAGGATGGCTGCCCTGGGATTTGGTACCTGCCTAGCTTCTGTGGAGTGCTTGTATGAGCCCAGCTCTTCACTGCCCACTCTGGAGTCCTTTCTCTCCATCAGGCTGCATTCTTAGTGCAATTCAAGTTCACCATTCAAACCACGGCATGTCTGAACTTTATGTTTTAATGACACTGAGGCTATAAACCACAAGGAGTCTAACATCTCCAACTTCAACGGTTTTCAGAAATGCACACACTCAAAGCATATGTGTCTTACATCTGCTTAGCGGTCATAAAGAGGCATTTTATGGCACTACTTTGAGGCTAGGTTTTGTGGCATACTGGGTCCAGCCAAGGACACCTTAGACCACAGTTTAGGGCAGTGACAGCTGCTAGCTTTGATTCCCATTCAGTGCTCAGACTTTTGGGGAGAAAAAGAAATTTCCCTCAGTTCCAAGGGTCCCTGCAGCAATCCTGGTCCAGGGCAGAGCAGGCATTTCTCAAGCCTCCATGGCCAACGCAGGTCAGCAAACCCATAGCCCTCCCAAGTTTAGGACTTTGCCCTGCTCCCTGGCACCTGCCTCCACCCAAACTGGGCCCCAGCTCATGTCAGGGGTTGGGCTGTGGAAAGTACATGGGTAGGTTGAAAGCACAGCCAGGGCTGCTGGGGGAGCCTCTGGCTCTCAGCTGATAATAGGGCTTTCATGACATTATACCAATAGGCTCAGTGGAAAAGGGATCATGCTATGGACAGGGCAGAATGGGTTTAAGAACTGTACTGTGCATTTACTAGAAAACATGGAAGTTTTAAAAAGTACACATACCCTCTGCTTCGTCCAAATTAATTTTCTGATATTTTTTTTTCCCAATCTTTGCAATAGATTCTTCTCTCTTTGAAAGCCGGGGATCCCTAGCATTTTTTCCATTTTCTCCTTTTATTTTAATAGAATTAGACTTGCCTAGTGTTCTCTCCTCTCCCTGCATTAGAAGGAAAGTCAAAGTTCCACTTGCATGTCAGCACACACATCATTCATCAATACAAATGAAAAGAAAGGCTCAGTGAGGGCCAGGCCTCAACAGGGAATCAATACACACTTCAGGACTCAATCGCGACAGTGAGTTAACAGAAAAGCAGCATTTACGGCCCAACCACCCACCACAGGACAAAAAAGCCAAAGGCTGGCAGCTCATAGCAGGACCCCAGGAGGGACATGAGGGAAAACGCCCACAGCTGGGGGTAGGGGGGGGAACAACCGCCCTGAGCACTGAGCAGAGCCTTAGCCAGCCAAATGGGTGCCAACAGACACTAGGAGCCCAGCTTGCATGGCAAGAGGCAGGGGCCCTGAGAGAGGGGCAGGGAATGTCGGGGATGAGCGTGAGGAAAATTACCGTAGCCGAGTGGTTTCTGGGGCTGGAGCTCACAGCTGAGTTTTGTTTGATAGGCGCGCCTTTCTGTTTGTCTGTAGATGCTAAACATAAGAGATAAGCTTTATGACCAGAGACTCACAGTGCCCCCTGCACAGTGAACACACCTGTGCTTCTGCCTGTGTAAGCAAAGCCCTCCCATCCCATTTAACACGCAAGACAGTACCCCCTGCACAATGAACACACCTGTGCTTCTGCCTGTGCAAGCAAAGCCCTCCCATCCTGTCTAACATGCACACATAAGCCAAAGCCTGAGCTTCCTGGCACAGTGCACAGGAGGACAAAGGCCTCTGCCCACCTGCGGCAGTTGGGTGAGGGAGCAGAGGCACGGGGGTGGGGTGGGGGTCCTGCATGTTTAATGGGAACATTTGGGAGGCTAATGTTGAAAAATTCATGCCACATGCCATGTGTCATGCATGTTCCTTTAGAACTGGACAACTTTCTGAGCCCAGTCTTTGCCCCTATTGGGGGTAGGCTGGCCTCTGTGATCTGAAGATCACTGTGCAGCCACTTAGAGGATCCTAATCCTATTCTGTGCCAGCTGCATGAGCACTCTGTGAGCCTGTACCTTCCCCAAGGACTCACCTGCACACAGACACCCCCCGCCAGCCGGAGAGCTGTTGAGAAGCCACCAGGCAATGCTGGCCACTTGCCCTGTCTGCTCTGCAGGAGCTCCCAGGCAGCACTAAGCCCACCCACTACCAGGGACAGAGTACATGTTTTCTAGAGTGGGAGGTAGCTGAGAAGGGAAGTCTGTCCTCCGTAAGGAAGAGGAAGCAGACAGGACCGGAGCATCACAGCCCAGGCTACAGAACCCACATCCTGCTTGTGGGATGGGGACCTATGTGCCACACCAGGTCCTGGAGGACCCACTTCAACAAAGCCCTCAGGAATCATTTGGGCATGAGCCCTGGCAGGGAAGGAAAAGCCTAAAGTTAGCTGAAGTGGCTCCACACAGGAAACACCTACCCAGATCACCCCTCTCTTGGTGGCTTCTAGAAAGTTCTCCTTCCACCTAGACAGTCCTCTGAGCTACAAGACCAAATTCCTCTCGCACAGGTTTCTTGTGCCAGGGCCCTGAATGGGCTCCTGAGACTTGGAGGCATGGGGGCCCAAGTGAGACTCTGACTAGGATTGACCCAGGTCAAGACTGTCACTGTTTAGGTGCTGGGTGGGAAAGGACCTCTGTGAGCCACCTGACCCCACACATGGAGAGTAACGCAGCAGGCTAAGACTGAGCCCAGTGTCAACACCTATTAGAAAGGACCATGTAAGTCACTGTCCTCACTGCATTTCATCCAGAAGAACAGATCCCAGGGCAGGGCACTGGGTTAAAGATAGGAGACCCAGGGCTGGAGCCATGGCTCAGTGGTTGAGACAGGTACTGATCTTTATAGGAACTGAGTTTAATACCCAGCATCCACAGCAGGCAGCTCACAACTACCTGTAACTCCACCTCCAGAGGATCCAATGCCCTCTTCTGGCCTCTGTCAGCACTTGCACTCGCACGCACACACACCTCGCCTGCCCGCATACACATAATTTTTTTTTTTTTTAAAGAGGGAGGTCAGGGTTGGGGATTTAGCTCAGTGGTAGAGCGCTTGCCTAGCAAGCACAAGGCCCTGGGTTTGGTCCTCAGCTCCGGGGGTAAAAAAAGCCAGGGGGGAGGTCAAAACAGGCTGTAAGGCTCTTGGATCCCTGTTTTGTGGTAACAAAGGAAAAGAGTGCCTTCTGGTACTTTCTGACACTTAGGCATCCTGGGGTGGTAGAAAGGACGTGTCCCTTTCTACAGCTGAGAAGTCATGCCAGGGGTCGGGGTCCTCCTGCTCCAGTCCCGCTGCCTCCTCCACCATGTATGTGTTGGGGGGTGGATCTGGGTTGATACCATAAGGGGTAAAGTGTCACGTGAGGGGCTAGTAGACCCCGGCAAGGTGGACAGTTCAGACTGTCCGTGGTGTGGTTATGAGACAATTGTTCAACAGCTGAGGGGCTGGCTGGGGTGCTGGCAGCCGGGTGCATGTGGCCTCACCTTTCCCTCTGCAAGGATCCTTCTCCTCCAGGACGACCCGCTGTCCATCCAGACTTGATATAGGGGCACCAAGGTCCAGGGGCTCCTTCTCCCCACTCTAAAGGCAAAGATGATGCACTGAATCATTTACCTGGATTGGAACTTTCTGGAACAGATTATTGTAATCCAGTCGCTGGCAGAAAGACTAACCCAGGTTTACCGGCACCTCAACCCTGCTGGCCCGGAGGTCAGGTCACCCACTTTGGCTAACCTGTGGGAGTGTGGAACCCCAAGGAACCAGCAGGGCAGGTCTTTCCACGGGTCACTGGAAGGGGAGGTAGAACAACCTGGTGCAAACTGAGAACTCCTGGGCCTAGCACGGAAGGTTACACACGTCGTACTCGGTTTCTGCTAGCCTCATCTCCACTCTGCTCACAGTCTCCATGTGGCTAACCTAAAACCCCTTGCTGTTCAGAACTGCTCTGAGGGGACACTGAGGAAAAGGCACCATCGTGTACACTAAGACTTGAAGGCCGGCAGTTGTAACAGCTCTAAAGATGCAAAGGAACCCATGCTGCCATCTCTGCTCAGGACTCTTCCCCTGTGCTGGTGCTACCCTGCTAGGCCTATACCACACCACTCTTTTTAAAAAGGAAGCTTAAACTTGAGCTCCTGTTACCAGCAGAGATCAAATGCTAGGTTATTTGCTCTGGAGGGGTCAAGGTGGGTCAGTGTGGTTTCAGAGCTCTGGCTTGGGCCTGGTCTGTGAAGGCAGGACAGGACTGCTTCCTACGCATGGAGGACTGCACATTCACCGAGGAGAGTCTTCTCCCGGGTGGCTTTGCCCAGGGAATAATCTCTAACCACTATCCAGCCCTTTCATGTCTCATTTTATAGATAGGGAAACTAAGGTAGGAGGGGCTAAAGGACTGCATAGGCTCTCTGTAAAGTGAAGAAGAGAGAACCTTGGAAGCCAGGCTAGTTCAGTCTCTGTAGCCAATTTCTGGGCTTTGGATAGGAGCCCACAGTAGGGAAGTGGCATCAAGTTACCCTTGGAGCTGGAGCCTGTGAATAATTGAGTAGGTTCCTCTTGTTTACCTCAAACTCTTAAAATTGAGGACAATTTCAGGGAATATTAAAAAATAAAAATATTTAAAACCACAACCTGGTGTGGTGGTGTGTGCGTGTAATCCCAGCACTTGGGAGATGGAAGGATCAAGAGTACAAGGTCAGCCTGGGCTACACAAGACCCTGTCTCAAAAAATAGCAAAGCAAGGGGCTGGAGCAATGGCTCAGTGGTTAAGAGCTCTGACTACTCTTGCAGAAGACCCAGGTTCGGTTCCCAGGACCTACATGGCAGCTAACAACCTTCTATAACTCCAGTTCCAGGGGATCCAACACCCTCTTCTGACCTCTGCAGGCACTGCACATGGGTGCACTACATGCACACAATGTACTCATACACATAGAACAAAAATAATACTTCTAACAATACCAAAACAAGCAAACAAAAACCCCTTGAAATCCCCAGGTTGAATAAAGCTGATGAAGGAGAAGGCCTAGGAGACACTGCGCCCCCAGCGCTGTGCTGAGTCAACGCAGCCTTGTGGCCAGAGCCCCTTCCTAGCTGCTGGTCCAGAAATGTCTTGGAGCTAGGACAGGGATAGGGAGGGACTGCTGTCCTCTTCCTTAACCCCATTCCCATGATGAACCCCATTCTCACAGTAAGGGGGGAGCCACACAGCATGCAGAATTACTGGTGTAGGTGACAGTGACAGAGCACCTGAGCCCTGGCAAAATATATGGTGAGGGGTGCTATCCGTATTGTTTTCTGGTCAAGTTTTCAAGTGGTGGTGTTTCAGGGTGCCTACCCAAAGCAGAAAACAATCCCTTTCAGAATGAATGCAGTAAGTTCATAAATAAAGGACAACAGAGTGTGAAAATTGGTGGCAGAGTCATGGACAGCAGCAAGGAATAAGACATGGCTCCTCCCTGAGGACTCCGTGCAGAGCACAGAGGCATCAAAGGGCAAGGTGGGTCTGTCATGGGACAATGGCAGTGCTCAGACCTTGGGTGACACTTACCAGCCTCACCAGCAGGCTACCCAGATCCAGGCCATACTTGGCTACCACTGGCCGCAACACCTCTGTGACAGGCTTGGTGGGCTTGGCCTTGAGTCCCACTGACCGATTAATCGGAACGAGATCCAGCCTGGAGGTAGGGCATAGAAACACGGACCAAACATTCAGTTCTGTCTACACAAGACCTCAGAGGTCTCCCCAGTAGAACAGGATGCCTGGTTTGGGGACCTGGCTATATAGCCCACACCTCAGCAATGGTACTTCCTGCACATGGAAGCAATTCCATACAGCCTTTCTGAAATTCACACCTGGGCCAAGGAGGTGTGTGGCTCTTACCCTTCATGATGAAGGGCTGTGGCCTGGCCACTGCCAAGCACCCACTGGGTAGAGGCGGCCTCTTTCCCTACGATGGTTTTAGGGCCAAGTAGCCCATGTGTGGTGCCTGCCACCACACATGACATGGAAATGACTCTTTTATGGTCTGTCATGGGACATCTGCATGCTTACTGGGTAAAAACGGACCAGGAGGGGCCAGGAATGAGAAAAGTCCTGACACTCAAAGCATGGAGGCCCTGGAGCCTTTAAGAACTTGTATGTTGTTCTCTTACCGAAACAAAGTACGCTTTTCCAGGCGCAGGTCCCTGGTGGCCAGGATGCTGCTGTCCTGATGCAGCACTAGGGGCTGCAAAACAGAGAGCAGAGTTAGCGTGGGAGCACGTGGGCCTGACGTGCAGAGCAGCATGCAGCAGCACACGGCTGCAGGAACAGAAGAACCGCTTCAGATTAGCCCCTAGTGCTCCCAACGCCAGCCTATGTGGGCATGCTCTCTCTAACCGCCTGGGGGCCTCCACCGTCAGTGCACTACTCAACAGGAGGGTGGTGGCAGGTATGGGGCATGAGCAAAGCCAAGAAGAGGAAGCAGGCATGACCAGGATGGCCGGTGGCACTCCTGCTGGTGCAGTACCTTGTCCCCGCCCACCAGGAAGAGGTCCACAGCAGCCCCATTGATGCCATGCCGCTCACAGAATCCAGTCAGGATCTCTTTGATGGAGAACCCTGACTTGACAGCCACCACACAGGATGTCCCATCTGGGAGGTGGACGCAGCAGTGCTTGGCAGCCTTATCCCTCTCCAGTGCTGAGGTCCTGCAAGCTTCTGACTGTAGGACAGGGAGACAAGTGCCACAACGTTAAGGGGTAGAGGGGTGCCTCCCCAGCCTGGTCTCATGTGCCCAACAACCCACTTGCTCCCCATGTAGCTCCACACACAAAAAAACTCAGATCAACCACAGAGTGTTCTCTGGTGTGGTGGGGTTTGGAGGCCATGGCTAGGGAGCGCAACAGTCTCCCTCAACTATGGTTACTGTGCTGTACGGCTCAAGTAAAGTGTGGCTGCTGTCCTGTCAGGAACGTCCTTCATGCTGCCTCTGGAAGCAGAAGCAGGCAAGCCCCAAGGCTGTGAGCATGAGCTGCCCACAAGCCTGCATGCTATCCCAAATGCCTGAAAAATCTCTGCCTATCACTCCAGAAAACTGGCTGGGAGGTGGGAGACTGGCTATAGAAACGGCCCTACAGACTTGTCCCCTAAATCTTCATGGTTTTTCCCGTGAGGTGGTGGGTTCCCATCCCTGGCCCTGGAACCTGGGTTTGAAGGATCCAGCAGAAGCCAGTTTCCAGTTCAGGCCTCCTGAGGCCCTGCTCTGCTGGGCCTGAGATCACCATAGGCAGGAGCCTGGGTTGGTCACAGGATGGTGACAGAAACACAGTCCAACTGGCCCTGCTGCCCTGGTCCATAGCCATAACTACAGCCATCTGTGAGCTGCTAGGACAGGAGCCCAGGGACACAGGGGAGCACACCCCAGGAGCCGTGGGGGCGGGGGGCAGAGGATTGCCTGGCTGGCTCACAGGCATAGAGCCACAGCAGGCAGTCGCGTTCTATAGCACTAAGCTGAAGGTACTGGGAGGCAACAGATACCTGACTAGGTGGTCTTTACAGAGTATCTGGAGCAATGAAGAAGAAAGCTGTCTATGGTCACTGTTGGTTTCCCAAAATTCTCATCAGGTCACAATAAAGAGACTAGATGACCCTGAGCTCTGCCCCACTCCTCCCACAGTAGACTGGTGAAGCAGGGCAGGCAGGGAGCCCAGAGGCCAGCTCCCAGGACCCCAAAGGCAGACACAAGCATTGGAGTACTGGAGTTAACAGGAGGTCCCAGCCTCAAGCTCAGGACAAAAACCTGCTTCAAAGTGCCCTGTGTGCTCTTAGTGGGCATTCCAAAGATATTAACTAAATTAGAACAAAAGAATTTGAGAAATAGGCCCAAGGCTAATTTTAGTCCTTGCACAGCACCCTTCCTCCATCTGCCAAACAGTTTTCCATGCTGCCTCAGGGTCCCTGGGCTGGGGGACCCTGAGGCCTTGGGTATGCACAGCTAGTATCCAAGTCTGGTACCCTGTTTATAAAATAAATGCTGGGTTTTCAGGAGCCAGGCTTTATCCACCAGCCAGTAGGGATAGCCTATAACCTTTGGGACAAAGGAAGGTGGTCACTCACCAGGTCCAGGCTGCCTGCAGAGGACACAGAACCCTGGGACTCCCGGCGGCACAGGCCTCCGTTGGCATGAAGGGCATCTTGATAGGGAAAGAGACTGGGATAAATAGAAGCCACAGCTTCATGTGCCCCACTCAGTGTGGAACTCCCATCCCACCCAAGACTGAGAGGACACATAGTAAGGGCAGAGGCAGCAAAACATTGGAGGCCCTTCTAGGCTGCACCTGGCTTCACTGGGGTGGAGTCAAACACAGATTCCCCAATAGCAGAGGCCAGAGTCAGTGCTAAGGTCACCGCTGTTGGGGGCCCCTAGGGCTTGAGGTCACCTGAAGATAGTAGAGAGCAATGGTGCACCCCAGGCTCATGTCCCTGTGTGGGCCTGTCTTCCCTCTATTGATCCACGGCTTCTATCCCAAAGCACTGTTTCTGGGTCTGAATGAGACTATCCCTGGGACCAGCTGGCTGCTCATCTTCCTCACAAGTCCCAATAGGAGCTAACAGTCAATCTCACTAACTCGCTCTAAGTATAATCTTAGGATGGCCTAAGCACCATGAAAGGGCCTAACATGGTCCTAGCCTGTTAGGTCCCAGTGACCTGCCCCAAGAGAATCACTTCTGAGGCTCCTGCAGGTCCTGTGCCAGACTGAGTGTCTGAACTCTGGCAAGTGTCTACCGCCATATGTAGAAGCCCTTTCCAGATGGATTCTGCCAGGTGTGGGAAGACTGCATGGGGCACACACTCATCCCCAGTACCCACCCACAGCACAACATCTGACCTACATTCACTGGCACAGGCAACAAGCTGTGCCTGGTCACAAAGGGCAGCATGTTTGTGGTTGCTTCTTTTTATTTGAGTCTAGTTTCCAGTTTTCTACCAAAGCACCTGTTACTTCCACAGCGGGAAGGAGAGCAGCTCAGACAGTTGGCTGCCCTACGCTAAGATCTCCAGGAGGTTCTGGAGCAGGCCTGCCCATCCCCGTCCCTTCAGCATTCCTCATTCTTCCAGGCAGTTTGCCACACTTCTGCCTGCCCACCATGGCCTCTCAGGGCACCATGGCAGTCAAGCCCTCCGCTCAGCAGCGTGGTCTGCACCCACACACCATGGGCGTGGTCGCTGTGCTCCTTCCTCTTCTGGGACCGCCCTGTGCTCCTGTTTCTTGACCAAGAGAAAAAGGCCCCTTTGCGTTTCTTCTCGCTGTCCTCGTCCCCTGCATCCTCATTCAAGGATCGGCCCGATTTTGATTTTCCACTTAACTGTCAGCAAATAGAAACCTTGGTTAAAACACTGAAGTTATTTTAATATTACATGACGCCAAAGGGGCTGAATAATGAGCTGCATGCATAAGGACTCTGCAGAACGATCTAGGACACAGCCCTGACTCTCTCCCTTTACCACTGAGGCAGACAAGGGGTAGGGGGGCAGGAAGTGCGGGGGACGTGTCCTGCACTGTGGTCCCCGCTGCTGAAGGGATGGGCTAATGCAGCCTCACTTTCACCCCAACAAGGGCTGGCCCAGAACCTTTTTTGGCGTAGACACATTGGAGTGGTCTGAGCTGATGCTGTGCTTGGAGGCAGGGCTGCTGGGGACCTGCTGGGAGTCAGGGAGGGCACGGCCTTCTACCTCGGCCAGGACACATTCTTGATACAGCTGGGATTTCAGAAAGCGAGTGTAGCTGTCAAACTTCATCAGGTTGAAAATCTGGGGAATGAGATCATGCGATACAGTCACAGAGGGAACTGGAATGCCCTTGAAGGCCCCAGGGTGAGGGGTGCAGGACATCTATACCCACTAACTAGTCCTATTCTAGAAGGGCATCGCTTTAGCCAGTGTTCCTTTGGGCTCTGGGGTATACTGGTGGTGCTCTCTAAAGTTCCCTCAGATCTCTCTATTAACAGGCAGCCTCTCCTTTTCCACTTAGAGGGAGCAGAGTCCCCAGGAGTGATGTTCAGCCCGCAGCACGGGCAGACTCAGAACTGCTGGCTGCAGCCTCAGAGGGTCTTTCAATTTATTACCGAGCTGGAAGGCAACTGGGGTTCTCGTGGGAGAGAGCTGCCTGGAGAAGACCCTCTTCATTTTGTTGTTAAGCTTATTCCTGCAACCCAGCGGCAGCAGCTCTGACAGGGCCATGGGAATGTGCACCCTGGGTGGGAATCACTGATTGGATCACATGTTCTTCCAAAATCAAAGCAATCCATGCATATAAGCAGAGTGATCCAGCACTCAGGAGGCTGAGCAAGAGCACGCTGAGTTCCAGGCCAGCCTTGGTGAGCCACAGTGAGACCCTGTCTCAACAACAGCAACAACAAAGACGAAAGCTCATAGCACAGAAAAACAGGCCCAGGGTCATGATGGCTGGACAGGTGATACTGAGTTTGGGATGGTGTGGAAGCAGTGTGCGCTCATAGAAACAGTACTGAAATATTTTTTGTTTGTTTTTCTGAAACAGAGTCTCTCTGTAGCCCTGGCTGGTCTGGAATGTGTCTGTAGACCAGGCTGGCCTGGAGTTCACAGAGATCCACCTGTCTCTGCTTCCTGAGCACTGGGATTAAAGGTGTGTGCCACCATACTCAGTTTGCAAATTTTGAATTTGGATTATTCTTTGGGCTAGTACAATGCAGTATACCCTCTCTTGGATGTTAGAAATGGCACTCTGCCATTGGCCCTGGATCAGTCCTGCAATCACAATTGGAATCACCAACACTCTACAGTGTTCTGTGTGACCAAATGCCATGCTCTGTAGGTCAGGCATGTCCAATGCACTTAATTTCTTTTTTGACATTTATTAATTTTTATTTTGACACACATGTATGCTAACCATGGCCTATTTATGGCGGTCAGAGGACACCTTGTGGGAGTCAGTTCTCTCCTTTTACCATGTGAGTCCTAGGATCAAACTCAAGTCATCAGGCCTGGTGGTAGGTGCCTTTACCCACTGCGCCATCTTGCAGGCCCCAATGCACTACTGATGGATGATATTTTCCCTTAGCATGGCTCATCAGTCATAGCCCCATCATAAGCAGAGAAGGACATCTGTTCAAAGGAGCTCAGGAATGTGTGATTTCTCTCAAGCGCACACACATGCATGCGCGCACACAGATACAGCAGGGAACATAGCACAAGATTCTCATTCTTCCAGTTCTACTGAGTCCTTCTGAGACCAAAGCCCCAGTGGACAGGTGGGCTCCTCACTAAGCCCACACAAGCAGCAATTCCTGAGCTGAGCCCTACAACCCAAGCCCTGCTGGAAGCCCTATCAGAAACTGCACATGGAGCTACCTGGAGCTGTTGCTCCTTGAACATGTCAGGGTGGGGAGCTTTGAGAATGTCGTCTGCCAGTTGGGCCTGGCTATCGATGTTGACGGGAGTGGTGGCTTTGCTGCACAGGAATTTGCTGAAGATCTCCCGGGCCCTGTAAGAGAGCTGACAGGTAGAAAGTTCTGATCAGGTGTGTGGATGTGCACCCACTGGGCACAGGCTTCCGACCTGTATCACTGTAGCATTTTTATTTATTTATTTAATTTTTTATTTTTGGTCTTTTTTGAGACAGGGTCTTTCTATAGCCCCAGCTGACCTGAACTCACTACGTAGACCAGGCTGGCCTTGAACTCACAGAGATCTGCCTGCCTCTGCCTCCCGAGTGCTGGGGTTAAAGGCATTGCTCCACCACATCAGCCCTTTTCTTAAAAAGAAAAAACGTTTTTAAAAAATATTTTATTATTTTTATGTGTATGAGTGTATTGCCTGCATGTATGTGAGTGCACCCGTGTCATGCAATGCCTCAGAAGTCAGAAGAAGGTTTTGGATTCCCCTGGAACTGGAGTTAAGGACAGTTCATAGCCACCATGTGGATGCTGGGAATCGAACCCGGGTCCTCTGCAAGAGCAGTCAGTGCTCTTAACCACTGAGCCATCTCTCCAGCCCCCGATGCAGCATTCTTAAGGCTGATGCTGCTCTGAGAGCCATGCTCACTGGCCCATTCTATATTTCTGGCACATATAAGATGAGCGAGGGAGAAACTCTGCTGAGCTCCTTTAAGGGCTTCAAAACTTGACAGGTGCTACCTGGGAGAGGCCTCAGTGCCTCCCAAGCTGGAGTATAGGATCTACCAGCAAGGTGTGAGTCACATGGGAGCACAGCAGCGCAGCAGAAGCAGACACAAGGCCACTCTAAGAGGGCATCCACCACCTTGGAGAAGTGCCACCGGGGCAGGCTCAGGGTGGCTCTGGGGCCAGCCTGCGAGGAACTGTCAGACCAGCAGGCAGATGGTGCCCTCTGCCTGAGTCCCCTACAAGTCCCCTAGAGCACTGTCCCTCCTTCCTTATGCCAACACACCAAGCACCACCTCTGCTGCTAGGACCTGTGGTGAGACATTTGTGCAGACTATGTTTAGGCAGAAATAAATGTCACACATTTAACTTCTGATTCCAAAGTAGAAATGACATTTTTAAGTCACATGGACACATCCCTTGTCAACTGCTCAAGCGACACTAGATGCAGCCTTGTGCCACCTGGCCTCACGCAGTCCTCCTCTGCCGCAAAGCAATTTACCTCTTTTTTGTCGTGTGCAGGAACATGACTGAAATATTCACAGGCCTGCCAGAACACAATATTCTCCTCACTGAATTCCTTCCTTAGAAAGTCCTGAGGGAGACACAGGAAGGAGAGTAGCCGTCACTCCACACATCCTCGTGCAGCTGCCCCTCTCCTAGTCTTGGCCTTTCTACACAATATGGCAGAACAGGCATCTCTGAAGAGGGCCTTGGAAGGACACAGACACTACCCAGTACCTTCAAGGATCACCACTCCGGCCTTCACGGCCATTTTCTTAGAAGTTAATCATATTTTTTATTTAAAAATAAATTTATTATATTACTAGCAAGCACACACAGTAATAGGTTCCATTATGACACTTTGCTCATACTCACGCCGTCCCCCGTTCTTGTTGCCCACCACCGCCCCCATCATTAAGAACTGTAAGGGAGGCCTGAACTGAGGTTCCTGCTGTAAGTGCACCCCACACTGAGCCACGAGAACTTGAACAGGTACTGGGATGGGGGCTCCCTACATGGTGATACACGGTCTTCAAGGCCTGAGGTGGCCCAGTGAACTCAAGCAGCTCAACTTTCCTCAGATGTGACTCAGTCCCCACCTGCACTGCTTGCGTTCCCATCTGTCCCCAGACTTTGTCTTCTGTCCCTGGCATGGGTCTAGTTTTGTCCCCAGAGCCCCCAGTCACTCACCGAGAAGTAGTGAACACCAACAGGGTCCTGCAGCAGACGCTCGAACGACACAGCCCAGCTGGCAACCCTCCTCTCGCGTAAGCGCCGGCAGCTCTGCACGCTGGGGAGACTGGCATTGCTGCTCAGGCTGTTGTTGCTGACGCAGTCCTTCAGATCAGCACCCGTCAACTCTGCAGGATCAACACAGATGCGCCTACATCCCTCACCTTCTTTGCCTGCTCCACAGGCAGACACAGGTGCCTACACCCAGCTCTGTTCTCTACATGTATTCAGTCAGCAACATGTACAGCACCTACAACCCAGCCAGTGCTTTCTTGACATCAAACAGCAATGAACAGACCAGACCTGACTCAAACAGCTGCACACAAACATGCACACTTTCATTCACACTTAACACTTGAACAACACACTCTATGAGGAGGAACCAGAGAAGCTATTAACAAAGATGTGCTGGCACATGCAGAGCCACCAGAACCCTGCTAAGCACACAGCAGAGAGGCTTTAAAGGGCACCAGGAATTGAAAGCCCCAGACATGATGGAAGTGTGGTCCCAGAGTGAAGTCCCAGGAGGGACCACCATTGGCCAGCCACCCCCGGGGCATGTGTGAGCAGAGACTGGCCAGCAGGATGCTGCAGTGGGTAACACAGAAGCCACAGCTCACGGCTTGTGCACTGTTCTGTGTGCAGGCTGCTTCTCAGCGGAAAGCACTCAGTGTGACATCCCAATTGAGTATTTAACTGCGTGGTACCTGGCAGCTCATTTGCTGGTGATCGTGATGCAGAAATATGTCACGAGGTACCCAGGAAGACTCCAATTCACCACTCCTGTCCACCTGATGAAGCTGCCTGGGGTGCCCCATTCCTGTGTAGGCAGCCCAGGCCTGGGAGGAGGGACATGCCAGTGCGAGCGGAAGCTCTGGAACTCTTTCACTCCACCTCTGTGTGCACAGGGCACATGCAGCTTTCCTAAATGAGGGGGACCTGGTCCTGAGCAACAGCCAGTCCACCATGGGGAGGCATGGGAGGAGTCCACCTTTGCTTTGTGTTAGGAGCTGGCTGCTGCAGTGCCTTTCTGTACTGCTTCACAGGCTCATGAAATGTTGCTACATCACATGTTCCCACTGGGCTCCATCATCTGTTCTGAGCACCTAATTGACAGGCCCTGCTGCCTGGCATTCAGGACAAACCACCCAGGATGGACTGCCCTGCCATCAGCCTTATAGGACAGATTCCCTGGGGACTAGCTAACAAGCTCTAGCTCCAGGCCACTTGTTGAAGTGCCCTTCCTAGCAGGGAAGGTGAGGAGGGGAGTGAGGGGACTGGAAGCAGCATCAACACTAAACTTCTCCAATCACACCCAGGCCTGCAGGCTCTCTGAGAGCTGTCAATGAACGTGCGATGCAGCATGACATACTAATGGCGTGTGATTCAGAATGCTGAGAGCCCTGAAGGAGCCCAGTGCAGACACCACAAGTCCAGAGGAAAGTGACCTTGAGGGCCAAGAGCTGAGCCAGGGATGTGACCACGGCTTCCTGGTGTGCTTTCTCGGATCAATGCAACAAGCAGATACTACTGCACTGGGCAGCATTCAAAGTCAGGCGGCATTTAGTAAGAAGAGGTGGGGGAAAAGCCAGAAGAGTCTCATGCCGATAACACTGCAGATGTTTATGTCAAAAGAAGTGATGCACAGGAGCTAAACCTGCACGTTGTTTTCTTAGAGCCCACCACACTGCCTGTGCGTTCCTAATCATCCGAGGGAAGGGCCAGGGCCAGGACACAGCACAGGAGTACTGACCTTCCTTCGGGAACACAGCTGGTCACGGGGCAGTGCAGTCAGAGCAGCCAGCATGTGGTAGGCACCTCGTCACTCGGTGCTAGGCCACCACAAACATGCTCATGTGAGCACCTCGCACTCTCCCCATGGGTCTGGGGTCCCACAGGGGCTGGCTCTCTGTTGCTGCAGACACTGAATCTCACTGATTTACATATCTAAGCTCAAAATGTGTCCCAACGGAGGGTTCTCCAGAGTTGGGCAAGCTGAGTATGACAGTCCCAGTGGAAAAACTGAACAAGAGGCCCAAGACGCAGGGCTGGCCCCTCCTACTCTACCATACACAGCCTCCTAGGGCACCACTCAGACAGGGGGTGGCTCTGGGGCAAAACCAGACCCATGTCTAGTACAGAAGATGAAGTCCAGGAACAGATGGAGAGGACGGCAATGCAGGTGGGGACTGAGCTGCAGCTGAAGACCAAAAAGTTGGGTTCCTGTTTTCCAGAGCTCATGGAACCTCCCCTCGGGGCCCAAAATGAAATGAGAGAAAAACTAGGAAACCCGAGTAAGGAAAGGTCTGGAAGAAAAACATTATACTGTGGGGCACAGCAGATACCTGAATCTCCATGTGAAATGCCTGGGCTTGGGTGGCACACCAGCAAGGGCAGAGGTGGAGGGGGACCTGCTACACACACAGATTGAGGGCTGGCTCCTCCCATACCAAGACTACCCATGTGAAAGGAGAGACTGGTGGACCAGAAGGAGGCAGAAGGAAGCAGGTCAGACATCAGGCTCTTAGCACCCCAAATGGTTCATCCTCCTCTGCAACATGGGGCAGCTGAGAGCTCAGGCTGAGGGATGTTGGAGGGTTAGCCGCTTGGATGCCACCCCAGGGCAGAACCAACACTGGCACACTGCAGAGGGTGCTATGCTAAGCTCTGCATAAAGGTCAGTGGGAACTGGGCTGCCCGTAAACACTAGACAGGAAGGCTAGGTGAGAGGACGAGGACTCTGCCTGCTGTAGGATTTTGGCTGCCCAGCCACGTAAAGCAAGGGTACCAATGTCGCCCCTCACTGTGCCCTTGAATTGATGAGATGACCCTCACCAAATGAAGCACTGGGCTGGCAGAGTGAGCACTGCAATTTTTTCTCTCCAGCTTTTTTTCCTGAGGCAATAAGGTTCACACTAAGAACTGAGGGAACAGAAGTTAACTCAGGAACAAGGAAGAGCCTTTTACACCAGGATGTGCACACACAAAGGCCCTGTGGCACAAGAAATCTGGCACACAACTAGTGACTCAGTTGGACTTTTGGGGACCACAGCGCCTTGACAGTGTGGATCTCACCACACTGGCAGGAGGCCCTTGTGCTCCTCACTGGTCTCTTCCTCCTGTGGAGGGTGGTCTGGGGGACAGAAAGGCAGGGGAGGAAGGGAAAGGCTGAGCAACTACGCTGTGCAAGACCAGATGAGCTGGAGGAAGCTTGTGTTTTCGAATTCTAAAGTGCTTAGAATTCCAGAAACAAGCACAGTATGGGAAACATCTGCTTCCTCTATGGCCAGGGCACCCAGTTGCTGGAGGAGAGGTGGGCCAGCCCTCCAGGCAGCCCTTCTAACCTGCTCACTCGTGGCCTGCCCTGCCTGCCAGCTCACAGAAACAACTCTTGCCCATTCTCTCATCCACCTGGGGTCACTGGTCTCTAGTGCTTCGGCAGGAGGGGCTGTGCTTGTGGGATGAAGGAATGAATGCTGACTGAATCTCTAATTAGGATGAGCTGCACACTAACTAAACTCATTATATATAGCCTGGCATATACTAAAGACTTTCTAAGATTCACAAGTCAATATGGACACTTTGAAAGTCTAACCAAGAGGGAAACAGCAGTGCTTTTAAATAAACAAATGACTGTCATCCTAGGCTCCACTGTGTATCAAGTGCCTCATGCTGTATATCTGCCAGGATTTCTAGGTGTGGTCAGGCTTACCCCTGCAGACTACCAGGCACAGATGCTGGGCACAGGGGGTAGGCCAGTACCTGAGAAGGCACAGCTGGAACAGGAATGACAAGAGTGGGGAGCAGATTGGGGCAGGGGAAGCAGGAGCCATTTCCTGGCAACTGGGCTAGGGACACACTCAGGCGAGAGGCCTGGGAAATGAAGGGATAATTTCCATAGCTACAACCAACCATTTCCCCTGGGACAAGAGGAAGAAATGTTGGGTGCTCTGCTAACCCCTCTGATGCTGTGGGACCATGGATTCGGCTTTGAGTTCTGCATAGCACAGCACATGTGGAGACAGCACAAATGGCCAAGGTGACGTGTAGCTGTTGCGTGCTGTGACAGAACTCTAGGAACACACACACACACACGCATGCACGCACGCATACACACACACACACACACACACACACAAGTAAAGGAAAAAGCAGAGGCAATTACAGGTCCATAAATACATCCACCCAGAATTCTTTTAAAGCAGAGGGCTCCTGGTAGAGTTTCTGTGAGTCCACTGAGATAAAGTGAGTGCAGGAGACCTGCAGAGTTCCCTCAGAGGGCCAGGCGGGAGCGGCTCCTGTGGGAGAATTTTAGTTCTGACTCCACATGCACAGGAAGTCCCTTCCCCTTTGCCATCATTTCTGAGTCTCAGAACCTACCTCATATTTCAGAGCTGCTGGACATGGAGAACTGCACATTCAGGGCAGGTCCGACCTGGGACACCAGGCAGCGCTTGGTTGCCATGGAATTCCTTGTAAACACCTCCATTCCTACCCTAAGTTCAAGGCCAGGTTGGCAGTGGACAAACGCGAGGTCTGAGACTCACTGGCCTGCTGGGAGCTGCCTGCCTGGTCCTCTGATGTTAAGCACTTGGGTGAAACGCAGGCTGAGCTGAAGAAGAGACAGTGACACCCACCCACCTGCGCCAGCACTGCAGTGGATGTTTGCTGGGCTTTGTTATTGCTGTGGGTTTTCTTCTTTCAGCTGACAAGTTTCAGTCAAATGCTGCCCTGGTGAGAAGTGTCTAAAGTCTATGACAGATTTGCTGAACTGGAACAGCCACAGCACAGCTGCAGTGATTGGTTAGACACGTAAATTACCTGTTACAAATTTCAGTAATTCTTTGAGATAAACAGTGTGCAGTTAGTTCCATAAGGCATGGTCCCACACTGCGGTCAGCTCGCTGCTGCATCCCACCCAAATCATCACCTAAGCATACCAAATGTTGGGATCTCAACTCTAAGCCAGGTGGTAGCCAATTCCCAAACAGCCAGAGGACCAAATGTACCTGAGGACTGCACAAGTTAGCCTGCCCTGACACCCATGACAAGCTGGACGCGGGACTTTACCTGGGTAGAGCCGATAAGAGCCACTGTGGTGCCATCTAACCAAATACTTCCAATCATT